CCAGGCGGCGGTCGCGCGGGCGATGGGCGCGAGGCCGAGCGAGAGGTAGAGCTCCTGAGACATCATCCGCAGCGCCGCTAGCGCCGCGGCGCCCTCGCCGGTGAGGAGTGCCGAAGACCCGCGGGCGGCGGCCGCCGCGTCCCCGCCGGCGGCGGCAGCCTCGCCGCCGTTGGCCGAGAGTCGGCCCTCCGGCGGCGACGGCGGCGGCGGCGGTGGCGACGGCGGCGGCGCACCCGCGGCTGGATCGGCCGACGGGGCGACCGCCCCCCCCGCGCCAGCGCTGAACTCCTCGCCGACCGCCTTCGCCTCCGCCGCCTCGACGGCCGCGACCGCCGAAGGCGACGACAGGATCGCCTCGGCCTTTGTGGCGTCGACAATCCTGCCCGGGATGCGGGTGTTTTGCGGCGTTCGAGGCGGCGACGCGGTCGATACGCCCGACTCGAGGCGGCTGATGGTGCCGAGCATCGTCGCCGGGGTCACCTGCTGCAGCCGCGCCTTGTCGGGCAGGGAGAGGCGCGCGATGAGGCCGCCGCCGTGGAGGGAGAGGTTCTTTAGCACGGCGGACGACAGCGAGCGGAGGCGAGGGTCGTCCGACCTGCCGAGCCCCTCGAGCATCGGCTTGAGGCACGCCACGGCGGGCGCCGCGGAGGCCGCCCGCGAGAGGTTGAGGAGGAGCATCATCGCGACGTGCTGCGTCGTCGGCGGCGCAAAGACGTCTGCCGACCCCGCGGCCGCCTCGACGAGAGCGAGCAGGCCGTCGGCCTCCGCGAGCTCGCTCGGGTCGTGCAGTAGCGCGCCGTTGGCGAGGCAGCGCAGCACGAGCGTCAACACCTCGGGGTCCCGCTCGCACGGAGGCAGTCTCACCGATGCGTGTGCCTTGGCGAGGAGTGCCTGCACCATCGAGAGATCGAAGCACGGCTCGGCCTCGTCGTCGTCGGCCGTGCGCGATCGAGGCCGCCGGCGAGAGACTGCAGACTCGATGACGCTGCACTGCGCACGCAGGTGATTTATCGGGTCGTCGTCCTCGTCCGGCGAGGACTCCGCGGCCGCCTCTACACCCTCGGACATTGCTGTTGGTAAAGTTTGGAAAAAAAAACCGAGCGTCGGAAGAACAAAAGGTGCGTACCGAGGCGAACAGTTCAACGCTGCGGCGCAAGACGAGGGAACCTTTGCCGAGTGGCTCGACGTGCTGCCGATCGAGGTGCTGCGGCGACCGCCCGGCTGCTCAAGCACCAACGCGCGCTCCGGCGCGTGGATCGAGATTCACCCCGGCAGCCCCAGCCAGGCCCCGCGCGCTGGCCGCGACCGCGACCGCGGCCCTCTTTCGAGCCCGAACTGCCTATCAGACGTGCCGGAGCCGTCCGACTGTAGCGACTAGCACACCTTCTGTCGAGGTCCCAGAAACCCGCGAGGAGTCACACTCCACGCCTGTGTGAGAGATTGTTTGTTCTGTGTGATGCACGCCCTGTGAGCGGGGCGGAGTGCGCACTGTGCCTCTCTGTGTTCGTGCGTCGCCCATCTCTCCTGGAGATGACTGCTCTATTTGTTTATTTATAACAAGGAACAGGACTGGCACGCCCCCCGATTTGGGCCATCCCCTTGTCCAAAGTTCGAGTGATAGCCAAAGATACACTTGACTATACGTTTCAAAGATACAACATTATACATTTCTTCCGGTGTATCTTCAAGACACACATCTTCGTTTGGGCCGCGGTGTATCTTTGAGCGAGAGAGAGATTTTTAGCAATACCAAAACAAATGTTGTTGTTGTATCTTCGTATGAAGATACACATCTTCGTTTGGGCCGCGGTGTATCTTCGTAGATACACCTCTTCGTTTGGGCCGGGCCGTGTATCTTCGCATAAGAGAGAGAGATTTTTAGAAGCCAATTCTCCCTCTCTCGCATAAAGTGTATCTTCAGTGTACGTACTTTTACTGGGCTGGGTTTTTAGGCATTGTGGGGTTGGCACTCCCATCGACCCTCATGACCTCCTGCGGTCTCTGAGATGGACACCAGTGGGTGTGAGACCACAGCCAGGATACACTCGAAGGCTGGGTAAGCAGTAGAGGTCGATACTCGACGCGTCCCACATGGTCTGTGTCGCTGTCGGCACGCTGTCGACAGGACGTCGAGGGACACCGGTGGCAGTGCCACCCAGGGGTGGTCGGGCGGTCTCCCGTCATGAGAGAGCCACCATGTGATCCGTATGATGATTCCTGACAACCGCCTCAGTCAACTTTTGTCACAGTTCCCGCTATGAGAGGAGCTGCGGGTCAGTTCGACAGCTGGAGCTGTGTCGCCGGCGTGCGGCGGCCTGCCTCCGGAGGTGCCTCTGAGGTGGACATTTTTTGGTCACCGTGAGAGAACGCGTTCGAATTTTCACTCCGGAACTTCAACTCTGCACGCGCACCGGCTAGGGCTACAATAGTGCCAGTGAGGCGGAGGCGCGAGTCGGAAGGCCGCGACCGTCAAGTGTTCCCTTCGTTTTCCTACAATCGCTGTGAACCCAGCCACGTAGCTTTACTGGGAGAAAAGAGAGAGTATCTTCCGTCCGTTTAGATACACGGAGGAGTGTATCTTCTCTCATGACACGAACTTCCCTCCTTGGAACCTCCCAGGGGGGGGGGGGCGTGCCGGTCCTTGCCGTGCGTGCGAGAAAGTGCGATCTTTGAAAGAATCTTTGTCGTTTGTGCAGCTGCAGGGTTTTCTTTGAGTATGGGTGTGTGAGATAAGTGAGAACAACGGTCTCTTACTTTTCTCTTTCACGTGAATCCCCGCGAGTTGGTGTGGACCACCCCCTCCTCTGCAGCCGAGGTCGAGGCGCGCTCCACGCTCGCGGGCCGCACGGGGCGCGCTCCTCCCGCCGCCACCTCACCCACCACCAGTGCGCCGCCCGCCGCCGCGCCTTGCGCCTCGGCGGCCCGCGTCTCCGTCGCCGCCGCGTCAGCCTTGGCGACGGCCTCGACTCGGCCCGCCTCCGCCGCCTCCCGCGCCGCCTCCTCTTCCGCGAGCGCCGCTTGGCTCGCGCGCAGCTCCGCCTTGAGCGACAGCACCGTCGCCTCGAGCTCCCTCCCCTTCGCCTCCAGCTCGCCCGCCCTCGCCTTGGCCGCCAGCGCCGCCGCCGCCGCGGTCGCCGCCTCCGCCTTGGCAGCGGCCGCCGCAGCCTCCGCCTCCGCCTTGGCCGCCAGCGCCGCCTTGGTCTCGGCCGCGCCCGCCGCTGGCCTGCCTCCTCCCACCGCGGCGGCGCCGTCGCCCCGCCCGCCGTCCGCGCCCGCCTCCCCTCCTCCTCCTCCTCCTCCGCCGCCGCCGCCGCCGCCGCCGCCGCCCTGCACGAGCTGCTCGAGCTCCGCCGTCCAGCCGAGCAGCGAGGCGAGCTCGCGGACCGCCGCGTCCGAGTCGCCCCCCACCCAGCCGTCGGTCCCGCTTGCAAAGTCGAGCCCGAGGTGCTCGCCCACCCTGTCGCGGTTGATGAGGAGGCGCGGCACGCCGACGCGCGTCTCGCCGACGAGGCCGGCGAAGGGGTGCACGCCGAGCGACGTGCCCAGCACGAGCAGCAGCTCGCACTTTGGAAAGTCCGCCCTCGCCAGCTCAAAGAAGCGGCGCGGCAGCTGCTCGCCGAAGAAGACTATCGACGGCTTGACTGGGCCGCCGTGCGCCTCGAAGAGCGCGTCCCACTCCGCGTCGCCGCCATGGAGGGCCGCCTGGCGCACCTCCTCGAGCGGCACCGCCGCGCCCGGATGCCCCGTGTCGGTCACGCGGTGCGCTCCGTCAAAGTTGCCGTGCGCCGCCACGACGAGGTCGGCGGGCAGGCCAGATGCCGTCTCGAGCGAGTCGATGTTTTGCGTAAAGACGCGGCGCAGCTTCCCCTTGTCGTGCAGCAGCTTGAAGAAGTAGTGCGTGGGCGAGGGCGCGAAGTTGCCCGGCCAGAGCTCCTTGCACAGCCGCTGGAACGGCTTGGGGTTCCGCCGGTAAAAGTCGAGATCAAAGATCGCCTCAGGGTACGGCAGGCCGTACTCCTGCAGGTTGTCGTACAGGCCCGTGCCGGGCGACCGGAAGTCCGGGATTCCCGACGAGACGGACACGCCCGCGCCAGCCATGACGACGACCGAGCCGGGCGTGGCACTGCCGATGAGCTCGGCGACTCGTGGCAGGCCGAGCCCCACGCCGCTCGAGGCGGCGGTGGCGAACGGCTGCGCGCGAGGGACGCAGATTAAGGAGCGGCAGGTGGCTGCGAGCGGCAGGCAGAGCTTCATGGTCGTTCCAAAGCGACCCAGCACTCACCTGATGAGACAGCGGGGGCGACTGTGATAAACGTCCTGTGGCAGCCTTGAGAGAGCGAAAAAAAACGGCGGCGCCAGCTAGCAAAAATCCTGGTGGCGGCGTGCCGTCCTCCCATCCCGCCCTTGGGTTGTCCGTTTTTTTCTTTTTTGCTAGCAATCCTTGGATCTTTGGTAGGATTGTGAGCGCAGCCGCTCATAGTCCTACAAGATGTACGATTGCGAGCGCTACTGCTCGCAATCGGAACCGCGCCATTCGCTCTCACCTGGCAACCCTGTCTGCACGTCTCGCGCGCGCGTGAACAGGGCTCCAGGCCCCAAATGATGTGTGAGTGTTAGAGTTGTTTGGTATTGTAACGGACCTTACCCGCCTGTAACCTCTCTTTAAGGTATTGCTAAAAATCTCTGTCTCAATCGGAGGCATGTATGTTGCTAGGATTGTGAGCCAAGTTGCTCGCAACCCTAGACTTTGCTCGGATTGCGAGCGCTGGTAGTAGTCGTAGGTGTCACCAGTCACATTGTGAGCGGAGCTGCTCTTGGTCCCAGAAGAAGTAGGATTGCGAGCGTAGGTGCTCACAATCGCACAGAGATGCTTACGATTGCGAAGAGTGCTGCTGAGCTCACAATCCTTCGACTTCTAGGATTGAGAGCGAGGCTGCTCTCAATCCTAGCCGTCTAGAAAAGAAGGTTCACCAGCAGCGCGCGCCGTGAAGCGTGATCACGACGCCCAAGGGTGGGCGACGGCTAGCACCAGGCACTCCTCTCCCGTTATGCGTTAAAATCCCTGTGTGGTGTGGCGGCGTGCCGTCCCCTCCCATCAGATTTATTTTGTCCGCGGTGATCGCGCCGGTGCGGGAGGACCGTCCACCCGTGCCTGGAGCACTCGGCGACGGCCAGTGGGGCGCTCGCCCTTGGCGGAGGAGCGGCCACGCTTGCTGCACGGCCTGCCGGGCTTCCCGCGCGTGTGCAGAGTGTGCACGCGTCTCACAGTGTGCCTCTTTCCGCGCGCGCGTCCGCGGCGAGTTCATTTTGGCGACTCCAAACGGGAGGACAGAAAAGCGCTGTCCCTATGTAGCCACGCAGCGCCCTCCCTATGTAGCCACTGGCGCACCCTATTGGCAGCAATTGACTTGGCATGCGCGTACAGCATCGTGTCAAGCTCGTTCTCTGCACGCATGCGTGCCATCACAGAGGCAGTGGGGAAGCGGGGGGAGCGAGGCGTTGCCATCGAGGCGAGGCAGCCAGTCAAGCCACGCGAGGTAGACAGGCTCGTTGAGCCATTCCGAGATCAGGACCAAGTCGTGCGCTCCTAGCGCCTGGAGCGCCAGCCTCGGCTCCAACTTCTGTTCGTGTGGGCACCGCATCGGGCATTTCATTTGGGTGACGTTTCGGGGCACGCCGTATATGGGACTCATCTGGAGCGTCACGCTCTGCCTGAGCGACTTGCTCTGGAACAGCGGAAGCGCTTTGAAGTTGCTGCTCAACGTACAGTTGCCGCCCAGACGTTTGTACGCGTGTGTTTGCAACGTATTTCCCACGAGGGAACGAGAAATTGCGAACATTTCTCGTGGGTTTGTCTGTCGCGGTGTGGTCCAACCATCGCATCCACGTATCGTTGCTGCATGCTTCGGCGAAGCACGCGGTGTCGCGTATCGGAGTCGTCTGGCAGCGATACGGTGGGCCGGCGTGGTGGTACTCGGAGACGTGGCGAGATATCGGTTCGCGCAGAGTCACGACAACGAATGAGCTGGGGTGACAGGTTAGCCATGCCTGGAGGCAAAGAAGCTAAA